CGCACTGGGCGACAAAGCTAAACAGCACATCTACGCGTCCTACACGGGGTTTTACATTAACAACAGGGATGCCGGCAACTTGGATCCAAACTGACTTAGAATGCCACGCAGACCACATTAAGCGGGGACAGTTGCAGCTTCCATCCCCCTCCTGAGAGAAGGGGAAGTTCATCGCGTCAGGTGACAGCTTTCCAATTCGCAGCTTTTAACGCACCGTGATGTTATAAAAGGGAGCCAGATTGTTTAAACCGGTGGATGTTTGCTGCATGCGATAGGAGCACAGTTACTGCGGGCACCAAAACAGACACGTACGCACATCGGGAAGCTGCAGATGTTTCAAATATTTACCAGGCGGACTCGACAGGGAGGCGGCCTGTCAGCAAAACTGACAGATTTGTTTGCATCGCTGGAAAGGAATGCTAACGAACAGCTTACAGCGTGAAAGGCTTATAGATAATGGTCTTTATAGTTAGCCCGACGCATCCACATATTCCCTTCCTCCAGCCACCCAACTACGAATAGGTCAAGTATTTTTAATGCTGACCATAAAACGGAACTTTTCACGGGGGCTGATTTATTATGCTAAGCGCATTCCCAAATCTTTGCACTTTGCTGTCTCTGAATAAAATCCCTTTATGCTGACGTAAGTCAGAGTCGCGACCCTTGACACAATCGAAATAGCTCTGATGGCCTTTACGGTTGCATGCACCCACGATTTTGCACATAGCTTTCAAAGGGAAGGGAAGATAAGGAATTTGGGTAGTTGGTTGTTGTTCGTGACCTTTAACGCCAGCAAATCGGTGCGCGCCTTCTTCGTTTTAAATATATATATATGTATATATGGAGAATAACATTGCCAATAAAGACAAGGGAGACTTGAATGGTCACTTCTGGCTTATTAGTAGTCGTCGTCGTCGTCGTCGTCGTCGTCGTCGTCGTCGTCAGTCAGTCAGTCACCCCCAACCCCGAGGTTTGGAGCACTCGGGGCTCGATTCCGCGACCTGTTGGTTAGAAGTCCAACGCCCTAACCACTGAGATGCGGGTTCGCTGTTCTGTCAGTTGTGATCGGGAATTTATAATGGTAGAAGGGCTTTCATCGGTCGCGCTACAGAACACGTTCGTTCCACTGTGCACACCTTCGGGTTGGGTATGACTGGCTGGCAACGGCTAATATACTAGAAATGGCCATTCCGATCTTATTTACCTCTACTACTAGTCGCTGTGCGACTGCCTGCGAGGGTTTTAGCATGAGCCCAAAGTCAAAACGGAACGAGCACACTCATTAACCTGATCGGTGGGCGCCCATCTGTCATAACTGATATTCCCGATCACAACCGGCAAAGACAGCGGGCCGGTGGCTCAATGGTAGAGCGTCAAACTCTATGACCAAAGATCCCGGGTTCGTAAGGGGACATTTGGCTTGCGGCGTTTCGGCACAAGCCCAATGTTTCCCCACGGCCCATTGTGACGTTGAAAGGCACGCCCACCTACGGACTGACTAGATGACTTGACAAGCATTTGAAGAAGCTGACGGACAGCTCAGAACACACAGCCGTATCTTTGACACACTTCTTGGAAAGACTCAGAAGCGTCATAATAGCCCCCGACGAGATAATGGTATCTTTGACGTTTTCTCTCTGTTCACCTCCATCCCTAAAGAGTTGGCCATGAGAGTTGTCAATGACCTACTGGAGGGCATCTGTGACTTTATATCTGCCAGTCATCAAGAAATAGGACTGCCGACAAAAACACTCAAGGAACTATTACTAAGATGCACATTAAATGTGCAGTTCCTTTTTGACAACCAACTCTATAGACAAATAGACGGCGTTGCCATGGGCTCGCCTCTTGGACCTCTCTTAGCCGACGTCTTCGTCAGCAAGCTGGAGAGATTTCAACTTAAGCATTATGGTCGCCACGTTGACGACATCTTTGCGATTGCAATCACAGAAACCGACGTCGCTGCCCTCCTAAATGCTGCAAATCAGGCACATCCGTCGATCAAATTCACGTTGGAGATGGAATCGGCTGGTTCGCTTCCTTTCTTAGATGTCCTTCTAAACAGGAGATCTGACGGTCGCATCCGAAGGAGCGTCTATCGGAAGAAAACCTGGTCTGGACAATACAAAAACTTCGCTAGTTTCGTACCTCTCCAACAAAAACGGAATCTAGTCAGGTGTTTGGCACAAAGGACTAGAAACATTTGTTCAACAGATAGCATCCAGGAGGAACTTATAAAAAATCCAGAACTTGCTTCGCGAAAACGGGTATCCTGACAGGGTCATTGCAAAGAACCTTACCGAACGACCCGCAAAACCCACCACACTAACCGCCGAAAAGAAAACCTTGTTCCTCAAAGTCCCCTTCCAAGGAGACGCTGCAGGTGAACTCCTAAGAAGACGCCTTGACCAAGCTGCCTCGGGAACCTTCCCAGCAGCAAGGGTTCGCATATCATTCTCTCCTAACCCTCTTCTACGCGGAGAAGGCAAGGATAGGCTGCCAGCTCAGACCGCCTCAATGTGCATCTACTCATGCACTTGCTCTTGTGGAGCAGGTTATATTGGTCGTACGAGTCGGCGCCTTTCCAAAAGAATACGAGAGCACCTTCCTGCATGGCTGGCAAAGGATGAAACTAGGAGAATAGACAGCGCCATCCTTGCGCATGCAGTGGACTCAGGGCATCGTGTGAATCCCACTGAAGCATTTCGTGTGATTTACAAGGTCCCCTCGAGCTACCCTAAGCTACTGGGCCAGCGCCTGTTAGCAACAGCAGAAGCGGCCGCCATCAGGTTACGAAAACCGACCCTATGCGCCCAAAAGAACCTTGTTCAGGCTCCGCGCTTACCGTGGTCAAAGGTTGACTAACTACATACAACTTTCTACGCCCTTCCGCTCTTGCCTAGCCTGTAATTTAAAACCTAACTTTTATCGATTTTTGTTTCACTCACTGTACCCCGCCCTATGTAATTGTATTGGCCTGATGAGAATTTACCGAAAGGAATGTTCACTCGCCACTGTCTCTTCTGAAAATCTTTTATGTCGAGGCACGCGATGGTACTACTGGACTACTGCTTACGCACTTAATTCATGTTTAACGGTCAAATTTTCGAGCAAATCAAGGGAACCCCAATGGGGTCCACAATCTCCGTTTACCTGGCTGCGGCGGTCTTGCAGGAACTGGAAACTTGGGTCTTTCAGTCCTACAAGGCGAAATACTGGATGCCCTACGTAGATGAATCCTGCGTCGTCCTACACAGGGACGCTAAACACAAAGTTAAAAGGGAAATGATCTCGGTTTTCCCACAAAGTCAATTTAACATGGAGGAAGAAGAAGAAGAAGAAGACGGAGCAACCCCATTTCTAGCCGTCCAGATATCGAGGCAGGAAGGGGGAACCCTCCAGACTGTCGTCTTTTGAAAGGCAACAGACACGGAGAGAATTCTCCACGACAACAGCAACCATCTCCTGTCGCATAAGCACAGTTGCGTCCTGACGCTTTTTCGCCGTATCAACACACACTGCAAAACAGAAGCCGAGAAGCTGCGGGGGCGTAAAACCCTATAGCGCTCCTTCCTTGGCAATGAATATCCGCGCAGTTTAGTAAACAAATGCTTCTACCAAAGACAAACGAAGACCGACGGTGGGAAAAAAATTGAGACTTGAAATCTTCCTTGTTTTGTCCTGCGTGAGTAACATCTCCAGAGCCACTGAGCACATGCGAAGAGCGCTAAGCGTAGGCCTTGGACACCGGTTGGAGGCCACCATCCGCCGCTTACTCATGCAGTCTAAGGTCAGTTTATCCTCTGCGGACACGTCAGGAGTTATTTACCGCGTCGAATGTCTAGACTGTCTATCTGAAGCATGACCGACAAACGCCTGAGAACGCGCATGCATGAGCGTAATTTGGCCGTAGAGCGAAGGGATGTACGATCACATGTCGCCACGCACTGTCTAGAAAATAATCACATGTTCGATTTTGACGACGCCCATTTGCTCGGCCGAGCCGAAGGCAAACTGGCGCGAGAAGTAATCGAGACCTGTCAATCAGACGCCAATACGATCAACCGCAGTATCGACTTACCGCCGCCATACCAGGCCGTCAGGCACCATTTGCGCACGAGAGGAGAGGCAAGATGGACATATCATGTGCGAGCGCGAAATGTCTAATTTTACCTATCTCGGGTACAAGTACGAAACCTCAGATGATTAAACTTTCTTCTCCAGAGATCGCCATATTTTCCCCTTCCATATATATATACACATAGGTAGACCGTTGTCCTTATCTTTCCGTTCTCCAGCTTTGTCACTTGTACGTCAAGGAAGGCCAGCTGATTGTTGAGCTCTTCTTCCATAGTAAACAGGATGTCGGGAAAGATTGAATTCAACAGTACCTTGAAAGTCTGCACATCGCTCCTTTTTGATGATGACGAAAGTGTCATCGACGTATCTGGCCCAGAATTTTGGGGGGTACGAGCTGAAGACCAGCCGCTCAAGCCTCTGCAAAACCGCTTCGGCAATTAGTCCAGACAGAGGCGAGCCCATCGGTGTCCCCTTCTTTTGCTCGTAGACCTGGCCGTTGAATGTAGTTCTACGAGCTCGATGATGTGAAATCGTTTAAGCTCTTGATCGGTCTCATTCTACGTTTCCCGGAGACAGCCGTCAATAGTGTCGATAGCCAGCGCGAGTGGGATGGAGGTGAACAATGAGATCACGTCAAAAGACACCATCACCTCATCTGCCTCCACTTCGAGACGTCTGATGCGCGACAAAAACTCTTCAGCCGACTTCACTGTCCACTCTGAATCCTTGGTAAGGAAACAAAGTCGCTGGTACAGCCACTTTGACAGCCCAAAAGTTGGGGTACCACGGAGGGAGACGACGGGACGTAGCGGCAATCCCGGTTTGTGGACCTTTGGTAGGCCGTAGAAGCGCTCCATTGCGGCATCACTGGCTTTTGCTGCCAGCGCTTCCCTTCTAGTAAGAGCGCCCACCTTCCCCAGCTAGCCGATCGTCTTGTTTATGCTGTTTACGAGCTTTTTGAACTCGCTGACAGCCGATGGCGCATAAGCTTCCTTGTCCATCAAGAGGTTGCCCCGTTTTTTGCAGTACTCAGCCTTATTCATGACGACAGTCCAGCTCCCCTTGCCAGCGTGTAGGGTAACGATATCCTCTAGTTTTCGAATTTTCAGAAGTTCTCGATCTTTTGCATTAGAAACCGTCATCTGGCGTTTGTGTCGGAGGAGCAAGGTCGACACTTGTTGTCGCATGACGTTTTTGCACTCCTCGCTTGCCTCACACTTCTGGAGCGCCGATTCAAAGGATGCAATAAAGTCTCCTGGTTGAGCATCTCTTGTGCTGAACTTTGCGTCATAGGATATAACCGCTAGTTGTTGTTGAGTAAAACGATGGGAGGACAAGTTGTGAACCAAGACGCCGTCAGCGGAGGGCTGCTTTGGTGGACTTATTTTCTCAAAGTTTTCAGACAACTGGTCGTCACGCAATTTGCGGTGATGTCGTGAACTGTCGAGAATTGCTGCTCTGAGGATTCCCAGCTCGTGTGCCGTAAAGATCGACTGGCAAGTTGACGAATGTTGCTCAATCATCTGGCGGTATTTGTGAATGCGAGCGTGGCAGTCTCGTATCAGCACTGATCATTTTTCTCTTGAAGTCTGCCATCGTCCGTTGGCAAAGGTCTGAGTTCACAAGCGGTCTATATCTGAGGCACTTCGGTAGGACGTTCTCATCAAGGCACCTGTGCAGAGATTTCAGCTGAGCGTAGGTGAAGGACTCTCGCTTCGCGTAGGTCTCCCATCTGCGTGCTGAGCGGAGGGTTGAGCGCCCATAGCATACATCGATATGGGTAAAGATTCAAGGTCCAAATATTGTGTCGCGTTCATCGTCCCCGAAAGAAGACGAAGAAGAAGAGAGGGCGAATTCATGGCCCGAGTTATATTTGTACTGACGTTTCAGAAACCCTCTTGTTTCCATTATCAGAATAATGTGTTGGCTGTTCCTGCTGGCCTTGGTTGCTTCAGCCTCGATACCTGCCTGATATTATATCCGTGCTCGAGGCGCGAACTATGACCTGCCCGTTCGCCGCCGATTAGCGTTGACCTCTCCACGACTGACCGCCGGTGGGCTCCTGCCACTTTTGGCCCCTTTGCGGCCGTCGTAATTGTTGGCGAGCCAGCATGTTTGTCGGCCTCCCCCTCGTCACTCAGCGAACTGATCAGTTGCTGGGGCTCATGTAAGTTGATCTCAGCCTCGTGGGCGTCGCGATGACGTGGCGTCCCACGCTGGTCCCATCACCTCCGGCCGGCTTCTCTCCTACTTTCCGCTGACATAGGTTGTCGGCCACGCGCGACTTTGCTCGACCGTCCTGATGGTCTTGTCCGCACTGACGCGAGCCTTGTGCGTAGCGCCTGGTAGGTGGGATGCAGATCTATGTCTCTGTTGAGTGTGCCAGTCGAGGACCAACTTTCAAGCATTAATCTGGCCATCTGATTACTGGCCCGGCCGATTACCCACTCGAAGATCGGCTCGCTTTTTCATTCTGGCGTCTAAAGCGGTGGCATTTATTCCTCCAGAAGATCCAAGGCCTCAAAGTAAGTCCTGATGAGTGTATTCTATCGTTTGATGTGGTTGCCCTGTTTTCCTCAGTATCACATGACCTGGCGACCGTGAGCGTAACCCGACGCCTGCAAGATAATCCAACCAGAATTCTAATACAACACGTTTCAGAAATGCTCAGACTCTGTCTCAAGAACTACTGTCAATTCGGCGGAAAGTCCTATCAACTGGTTAGAGGTACGCCAATGGGATCGCTAATAGCAAGTCTATTAGCTGAACTGGTACTACAACAACTAGGGAAGGAAGTTTTGCGAACCTTTAAACCAAAAATGTGACTCCGGTACGTAGATGATACGTTTGTTATCATGAAGACCTGCGAAATGGCGCAGTTGCATTTGAGTCTGCATAGCGTCATTACGTTCATTACGAAGGTCTGCGTGCCCGGCTCACTGACTTGCACCCACGACCTAACAACAGCCGCTAATCCATACCGGGCCATGTATAATCATACTATATCGCCACCCCCTACCCCAGACAGCGAACCGCAACTGCAATCCCTAACACCTCTACGTTGGCTCACTGACCTCTGCCCTCATGTCGAATCGACGACCATTAAGTCCACTTGCCATAGTTACACTGAATCGTCATCCCCCTCTAGCCTCCGACACAGTTGGAGTTGGAGTTTAAAAAGGTCCTGTAAGTAATTCATCTCCTCCTTCCTCCCACTGTTGTCGCTACAGTGGGAGGAAGGGGGAGATGAATTACTTACAGGCCATTTTAAAAGCCAACGGCTACCCGAAGTCCTTCATACGCAATTGCCTCAAAAAGCCCATTTTGAGCGGTCGAGTGGAGAAAAGCCCAAGTTCTGGCTCTCAATACCCTACGTGAAGAACGTATCAGATGCAACGGCGAGAATCCTGAAACCTTTTGGGATTGGCGTGGCTCATAAACCAGAAGGCACCATCAGACAGCAAATCATGAAGCCCAAAGACCTGCTACCAACAACAGAACAGTCGGCGATGGTCTACAGCATACCATGCCTAAATTGCAATGCGAGGTATGTTGGTGAAACGGGCAAACGCCTCGGTACAAGATTGCACGAACACCAACTTGCAATCAACCTCAAGGACAAGCTGTCTTTGGTCTATGGCCACATACGAGAACTGAACCACGATTTTGCCTTTGAGAAAGCGAGGGTAATTGGTCGAGCCAATGAGAAGATGGCCAGACTGGTGCTCGAAAGGTGGTCCTCGACTGGCACACTCAACCGATCTATAGATCTACATCCCGCCTACCAGGCGCTTCGTACAAGGCTCGGATTAGTCCGGACAGGACCAGTAAGGCAAGCGAGCACGCGGGACCGAGAGTCAACGCTCACGGAAAAGAGCAGAATTGGGGGCCAGAGGTCATGTGACCAAAGCCGAACACTGTCTCACCGATGCGCCCACGAAGCTGAATGCTGCTCACCTGAACAGCAACGACTGATCAGTCCACCGGCTGACGTGGGAGAGGCCATGCGGCACGTTGATTTGACCATAATTACGCATACCCCAAAGGGAACAAAGGTCACGCAGGCCTGTCAGCGGTCAGCTCAGGGGAGGTCTAAGCCAGTCAGCGGCAAACAGGCAGGTCAAAGTTCGTGCGTCGAGCACGGCTATAATACGAGGCAAGTGGCAAGACTGAACAACGCAAGACCGGCAGGTGCAACAATTACGCTAATCTGATGATGGAAAGGAGGTAGTTTCCGAAACGTCAGTTCGAATACAATGTGGTCCATGAATTCGCCCTCTTTTCTTCGTCATCTTCGGAAGATTATGAACGCGATGCAATGTCTGGACCTCGAATCTTTACGCATATCGATATATATATGCATGTCAAGTGGGCGTTTGACCCTCAATGTTGTGGTTAGGATCTCACTCGATCCCATTCTGTCCGTCCGCCAGCTAGCTACTGGCGACAACGAACACTGTGTCATAGGACACATACCACATATAATACATAGGCAGCTTGCTAGGAGTGCAAAAGGCCAGACGTAGACAACTGTTTCACGGTCGTTACCGATCATCAGTCCGTCATAGGCCTTATGAAGTGCGGTATACAAGCATGTCAAGTGGGTAAAACGCCCACCGTGAAACAGCTGTCCGCGTCTGGCCTGTTGCGCTCTTAGCGAGCTGACTATGTATTATACGTGGTATGTGTCCTATGACACAGTGTTCGTTGTCGACAGTAGCTAGCTGGCGGGCGGACAGAAAGGGATCGAGTGAGATCCTAACCACGACATTGAGGGTCAAACGCCCACTTGACATGCTTATATACCTAACTTCATAAGGTTTATGACGTACTGATGATCGGTAACGACCGTGAAACAGCTGTCTGCGTCTGGCCTGCTGCACTCTTAGCGAGCTGCCCATGTAACATATATATATATATATATATATATATGATAAGGTGATACCGACAAAGACAAGGGAGACCGGAATGGCCATTTCTGGCCTATTAGCCGTCATCAGCCAGTCATACCCAACCCCAAGTGTGGATCACTTGAGACTCGAACCCGGGATATTTGGTCATGGAGTTTGACGCTCTACCATTGAGCCACGGGCCCGTTGTCCTGTCGGTTGTGATCGGGAATATCAATTATGATAGATGGGCGCTCATCGATCAGGTTACAGAACATGCTCGTTCTGTTGTGCCTTGGGGCTCATACTTAAACCCTCGCACGCAGTCGCACAGCGACTAGTGATATATGTTGATAAGGTGATACCGACAAAGACAAGGGAGAACGGAATGGCCATTTCTGGCTTATTAGCCGTCATCAGACAGTCATACCACCATATCAACATATATCACTAGTCGCTGTGCGACTGCGTGCGAGGGTTTAAGTATGAGCCCCAAGGCACAACAGAACGTGCATGTTCTGTAACCTGATCGGTGAGCGCCCACCTGTCATAATATATATATATATATATATATATAT